ATAACAATTTTTAACTTTGAGCTTGAGTTTTTTCTTTGAAAAAGCCTGCTCCGTGTATACGAGATCATATTTTAAGTTGCGCTCGACATAATTCGTCTAAAATTTTCACACACATTTGTAATACCACTAATAACAAGGTTCAGAAATATTTTAGAGAAAATAGGGCTGGTTTGCGAAATATTCAAGTTTAAGTGTTTTCCAGGATTTCCCCATAACTTGAATAAATTATACTCGATTTTCATGAAATTTATATATAACATATTTTGGTCTTTTACAGCCTTTTGCAAAAATTATGAGAATTGTTGAAATATCTAAATATCATAATATCGAGTGCATGATGGGTAATCCCGCGCGATAACCTTAGTCCCTTGTCTTTGTAGTTTAGTTTTTTTTTTGGCGACAGACTTATCCGTAGTTCTGAACATTTTCTCGATGTCAACAATGAATTATTATAGCAAACTCGCGTGTTCTGGACAATATATGGATTTGGATATTATGATATTTAGATATTTAGACAATTCTCATAATTTTTGCAAAAGGCTGTATCCTTTATTTGACAAAATATTGACCGGATCAAATCAAAATAAACTGCATTTCGATGCGTTTCTTTCGTAATGGTCGGTACTAAAAACAACTGTCCCCAGATACCTTAAGTCACAATAAGCCTCATAAATTCGCGGTATTTTTCAAAAAGCCCATTCCGAAAACGGTCGGCATCTTTTAGTGTGGCTATACTGCGAATTTTTTGTGGATTTGTAAGTGATTTGAGCGTATTTTTTGAAGAAGAAGCAATACCATAAACCCACTATAAGTCCATCGACGAAGCTGATGTAATTAGCACTTGAAGCATGGGACTAGTCCAGTCCCAGACCCTTTTTTGACCCGCTCCGTTGAACGGCTCGTTCCCCGCGAGAGGCCCGTTAACCGAGCGGACCGAAAAGGGGCTGGGACTGGACTAGCATGGGGCGAGACAAGACAGGCTAGGAACGCCTGGCTAGTCTGGCMGCGATTTGGCGATGAATGCAAAAAAAAACTAGACGATCGAATCGATCGTGACGTCGGACTACGATCATGTTTAACACTTATGTAGGCCCTAAGTGATACATGTATACTCACAGCAAGCCGTTAGCTTTTTCATATTCAAAATATTTGTTGATGTTATACATCAATTACATATCCCATCGAAAGTTGATATAAGTTATTTATTACATCATAATTTTTTACGGAACTGAACTCTAAGTAACTTCTTTAGATATCATGTCTTTCTCAGTTTTCCAAAATAACTAGCTCGAAAATACGCTCTAAGAGCGTCTATAATATTCAATGCAAGATATCTGAAAGGTCAAATAAACCATAGAAACGGTACAGTCTTTGCAGTTTTGTCAGTATCGTATAACTTTGAAAATTATTTTGATCGTTTGAATCATGTAAGATCTTGTGTTTCTGTTCTTTTTATTTGTAGTTTTTCTTGTATTTGTAATTTATAATTTTACATCTGGTGTTCTATGCCATCATCAAAGTACAGGTGTACCTGACAGTTTATATTTTTGGATTTGTCTAAGTTTTTCAAGTTAAACAATCATCAAAACAATACTATACGCGACGTTGATAGATAGATAGATAGATATATTGAAGAAAAGGTAGAACTTAAGTCGTGCCCAGGCCTAAGGCCTGCGCCCGACTAAAAAACCGCCGAAAACCTAAACTCACGGTTCCACAGGAACCCCGAGTAATTAATAATGATTCTTTAACAGCTGGTGTTTTTTCAGGTTTTCGTCTTATGTTCTCCATTTTGAGCAGCAAGATTGTAATATTTCTTGTAAGTAAGCAGTATAAGTTCGATTTTTTCGGTAAAATATTGGATTCGTTGCAGAAAACGCAAAAGTAGCACTGCTAAGCAATATTTTTCCGCCCTACCTTCGGTGAAAGTTCGCCTACCCGTCGAATCTTCGTTTTCCGAAAAAGTATCCCAGCTACCTGGGGCACACATCGGTCCATCACGTGACCAGTGTTTCATACCTTGTCACAAACTAGTATGTAACCCGAGAGGCACGGGATCGTGACGTATTAACACAGGTACTATCCGCATTTTGCTTGGAGCGCGCGCAGATAAGATAAAAGAAATAAAAGCGATAAAAGCTTGCCCATTCGTTCTTTCCTTCCACTCAAAAAGGTGTGTAAATACTTGTTGTTTACCAATGAAAACAAGGTTGAGCTTCGGAGGTGGCTCGCGTAGCTTTTTTCCTTTCTTTCTTTCTTCCTCTGGTGATATTCACAACACTTTCCTTAGAGGTATATAAGTGCTGTAGTTACGATACTTACCAATATGCTCCTTATGCATTTGTTGAATTTATAAGAGTCCACAAAGTTGCCATCAAGTGCAGTGAACTCTTGAATCATAAACTATTTGTTTCAGGCTTGCGTTGCCATGAGCGTGTCATATACACCTTAAACAGGACCTGTAGTGCTATAACAGATTCATAATGCGTTAGAAATCAGGCAAATGACGCTACTAGATCTCTCAGCTATACAGAATGACCGTAGCAACCTTTACGGTTGGTCCTTTCGGAACCATGATCGCTTCCTCGCGAAAGCACAACGGAGCAACAATGTATTAAGCGCCGGCTCTCAATTTAGCGTTCACCTTCCATTAAGCGGTCACTCATGAGTTCCCCATAAGTCGATTATCATGTACATTTACTGTAAAACATGACCTCTATTAAACGGTCAACCTCTATTAAACGGTCAATCTCTATTAAACGGTCAACCTCTATTAAACGGTCAACCTCTATTAAATGTTCACCTGTTCTTTCACAAAGGTGACCGCTTAATAGAGATTCGAGTGTATAAAAAGACAAGAATCAATTGTAAAACGTTGATGCGGTGTCTTGATTTTCCGACTATATTTTAGAGTCATAACACTTGCACCGTGAAATATGATCAAAATAAACAGTAAATATTAGTGTCTATTTATTGAATTATAGTAGATATTACTGAACCAGAACACAGTTCATGAAAACAAAAGGCAATACACAGGAGACTTGACAACTGCCATCTTTATTTCATGTACAATCAAGACAAAAGACATCTAGATCTAAAATAACCACACAATACACTAGGGAGCGCGTTTAACGAATCTTTATTTATTTGCGCTGCTGCCGTAAAATCAAGACAAAAGACACATCTAAAGCTAAAATAACCACACAATACGCAAGGAAACGCGTTTAACGAATCTTTATTTATTTGCGCTGCTGTAGAATCAAGACACAAGACAAATCTAAAGCTAAAATAACCACACAAGACTAAATGAAACGCGTTTGGAATCTTTATTCTCTGCGCCGCAGCAAAATTAAGATAGAAGACATTGTAAGGCTAAATTGAAAATACTGTAACAATATCAAACCCAGTACGCAAATGAACGTGTTTTCTAACGAGTTTATTATAAGAGCCTAAACTAAATATCAAGACAAGACGCACTGAAATGACCCGCAAAAATCTATAAACAACGTGGTTTCGAACGAATTCTATCGCTCAAAGCTGAGTTATTTGACTAGTCAATATAAAAAAGCGACTTGACAACAACCAGCGGCGACGTTTTATATTTATCCTTTGCTTGAAGCTCAAAATAAAACACAATAAATTTTATTAATCATTTCGGAAATGTTTGTGAGATACGTACCTTTTGAGCATGGGACATTAGTTACCAAATCATTATTTCAAGCAGCACTCGTAACAGTTATAAAGTTAGTTACTATAGCTATCTATTTCACTTTCACCCTATAATCAACTCTTTTTGTCCTTTCAATAAACTCGATTTCCATGAAGCCTACATTTAACACAAGCTCTAGCCCTTCCCGACATCTTTCCTCTGGGTTTAACAAAGAACTAAACCAGCAGCTCTTTATTTCTTTCCTTAATTGTGGGTGGGACATTTTTTAACAAATTCCTCCTTCTTCATTAGGTAGCTTTTAATAACGTTGTTTGGCTTCCAAGTCTCTTGTGTATTACCTTTTGTTTTTAAGAATTGTTTTGGTTCAGTGAATATCTACATTTCATACAAATAGTCAGTAAATAAAAACTAATAGTTACTACTTCTTTGATTTTGTTTCACGGTGCAAGTGTGATGACTCTATNGATTCGAGTGTATAAAAAGACAAGAATCAATTGTAAAACGTTGATGCGGTGTCTTGATTTTCCGACTATATTTTACCATAAACAACGGTCTTTTGAAAATTACATATGTCCAATTCGCGCGCCGCGATAACCTTCTATTCAAAAACCGACAGTTCCGTGTTTGGTTTTTAGCCGCCATTTTTTTTTTCACTGCACATATTTTTGATTGACAGGGTCACGTGACTAGGAGCCAATTATCTGGAAGGAGGAATTGTGAATAGATAGGGACAAGAATGAACTTGTCAACAAACGACAAGTCATCTTGGTAAGTGTTGTCCTCTTAGAGTCTCGTTAATCAAAATCACTAGGYACTTRCGAGAACAMGTTTGYCCTTGGAAACCCCAATACAACAACTGAAATCAWATATAAAGAACTACTAAGACACCTTATTGCGCAATGGCTTGAGGAAGRCGAYATTACCTTTTAAAGGRGAATTTARAAATGTGGAAAGTATTTATATTTTTCGCTGCTTTGGAACGTTTTCTTTGTTCAATTTATGGCGAGAATTTGGCTTTTCATTGCGAAGTCTTCCGTTTCACCGCTGGGGCTCTGTTTCGCCAAGAAGGAGTAATTATGAAAGGACACGTTAAAAAGACAACCAACTCATCTTCGCTGATWCAATGTGGTCAACAATGTTTACTACACACTGAATGGTGCGTTTCTGTGAACTTTTACTTAAACCAAATTAAAAACGATACGCCAAGGATTTGTGAGCTCAACGACTTTGGTGTGCAATCTCCGGCGGAGATTATAGTTGGAAAAGCATTCGAGTACAGAGAAGGTTATATTTTCACCCAATTACGACCTTATCAAGTAAGTATTTATTGTTATTGGCATTGTTATCCTTTGAGTTATCCACAATATTCTATGCTAGTGTAGTTCACTGCGCCACTTAACCTTTTTTTTTTGCTTGCTTGATTAGTAAATTAGGCAGTATATTTTTCAAATTAAGGTTAATTTTACAGTTAATATGTGCACTAAGKTTTCGTTTTTGTTGATTCAATAAATTTGCGACCTTGTTTTCTTGCCTTAGGTTGACTTTTCCTTTYAATCCAATGTTGTTGACTGYTCYTGTGATTTTTATAATTTCTATCTGAAYACWTGTTTCTTAGATCWGAATATAAAATAAATCAAAAATAARTTGAACTTGCTTTGGATTTATGTTTTTCCCTAATTTCGAACATAACTCCCGTTTTTCAGTACTGACCCTGGTCTAGTGCTCCCTTATTTTATGCTTTTATGAATCGCATTTAAAACATTGAAAAAAAAAACGAAGTTTAAAGTTAAGTTACTCGAGATTAATTTATACAATATTATATACACACTTTTGATATTTTACTTATATTAATAGAGTCAGCTATTTTGAGCTTTGAGGGTTGTTTTTTTCAGYATCGTTTGTTCTTAATTTTCATTTCTGTGACATCTCTCCATTTTTTATTTTTTATTTCATTTTTGGGGGGACAAGTACATTTCGTTCTTAAATAAACGCTAGGATTTTGTCTACCTTTGATAATTTWTGTTTTGATTTCACCGATTGGCATCTCTCACTAAAAAGTTCAATGCCAACTCTTGCTATCTTTTYATTCAAATATTTATAGAACGGTGTTGTGTAATTGGTAGTCAATCTTACAATCAGGAAATGAAGTCTCAACCAACTGAGTTTTAAACTCAACACATTTTGTCAACATCTATCAAGAAAGACGGAAATCAAGAAGATTSGAATATCAATAGCAAGATTGTTTCTATAAAATCTTTATCTTTTAATCCCGATTCACTTGGAGCGTCATGTCTTGTTTAAAATATATAAAAAAATATACAAATAAATGCGATTTTGCCTGAAATTTCCGCTAACTTTCGTCGTTTCATCATTGTTTCGCAACAACATCTCAGTTTTGATGGATTGTGAGTCAAAAAAGGAAGCTTGATTTTCTTGTTTATTTTCTGACAGTGTAGGGGGACGGTGTTGGAAGTATTTTTGTCAAATTCATGCTGCTCTGCAGTAMCTACTTCAATTGTAATGAGGTCCGATATACTTGATTAAGAGCTAAGTATTTCGCTAGCCGGACCCACAATTGACTCGCCCCCTACAAAACCATGAAGAGATAATTATGCGAGGGTAGAGTTCAAAGTGTGCCGCACCGGGTTTTAGAAAGCATTCAAGTCACTCTCKCCGCGCTTCACTGACAGTCCCGTAGTTAAGCCATGATTCATTAATTGCACTTCGAAAGCAGTAAGATTTAAATTGCGACTAAGAGATTTGCTTGGCGTATTTCAGACTGTGACACTTACCACTGACTGATCCGATGAAAAYTAAGGGAAAAGATCAGGAATTCCCTGCAATACCTATGACGTCAATGTAATTTAGGAAAAAAATCTAAACTATAAGAAATAATAATTTAAATGAGAAACCATGGCAATGATTGTAAATGAATGCTGCTTGGTTAAAGATTAAAGAACTCAGATACACAGAAGAAGCAGTCTTCATTTATAATCAAAAGCCTGCGTAAAAAGAAATTCTGAACATGGTAATAATGTTGAATTGGATTGCACTCAGTATTTGCATTGGATTGCACTCTGTATTTGCATTGGATTGCAATGTATCCTGCTTTTCAAAATGCCCCAGCTATCTGGCCTCGAATATGTTAATTTGAGGATCACTTAGAACTCTTTGTTTATAGCAGATAAAAATAAAACATAATTATCATCATCATCATTTTATAGTATGGCTGTAACAGCAACCCATGCCAGAACGGTGCGACGTGCTACAACGACTGCGCATCCCGTGAARTGAAATGCCGCTGTACAGACAGCGCKTATGGCAAATTCTGCGAAAGTTAGTTTAMTTTTTTGGTTGTAACAATATATTTCTTTTTTTTTTTTAATTCTATTAGAAAAGGTACTCCTAACCCTACCCCATCTCGCCCTATTGTCTAAATCTGCCGGTGTCTTTCTCTCGATACTCAATTTTGATATCATTTTTATAAKTTCTTTTTTTTTCAGATATTAATGATTGCATTAGCGTTGTTTGTAAAAATGGCGGAACGTGCAAAGACTTGGTCAATGATTTCACGTGTTCTTGTGCGATTGGCTACACTGGGCGAAACTGTGAAACAAGTTCGTATTCTGATGTGTGTTGTTTTTTCCTGTATATATGTCTGTTTTTTTTATTTTTTCGCTTCTTTTGCTCATGGATTCTTATGTTTATCTGTCTGCATGGTTGTTTGAGTAAATTCATTATCAGAAAATTTTCGTTTTGCAGATATTAACGATTGTAATGAAGTTGTTTGTCAAAATGGCGGAACGTGTCAAGACTTGGTCAATGATTTCACGTGTTCTTGTTTGGCAGGCTACACTGGACGAAACTGTGAAACAAGTAAGTTTTTTTCTGGCAATTTCCCTCTAGTTATAGTTTTCTCAATTTTCATTTCGTTCTTCTTATTGTCTGTTTTGATTCAGCACAAATACTTAACAATAGGCCATTTGCATGATGGCGTAACTTTACTACAACTACCAGAAAGCCTTGCGCATTTTCTTTGTTATTCAGATTTTTAATCCCCTTAGCGATTAGTAAAACAATTGGCACTAATTGCATTACAAAAGAAAGTGGGCAAAGCCTTCTGGTAGTTGTAGTAAATGACGCCATAATGCANTGAATCGTACCCATATTTTTTCAATTAACGATTATCCGTGAGATTTTAAGAGAGTGTCAATGGGGTTAACCGTGAGCCGTGAAACCGCTGAGAAATTAGCCGTGAGTCGAGAAAATGAGAAAAAAATTAGCCGTGAGGCGTGAAAAAGCCAAATTTTTAGTCGTGAGTCGTGATGCGGACCCCCCATTGAGAACCTCTTTTAAAACTCCAGCTCATTTAGTGCATCAAAGACCTTAATTGAGCGGGAGCCGATCGTAGCGCCTTCTTTTAAAACTCCCGCTCATTTAGTGCATCAAAGACCTTAATTGAGCGGGAGCCGAGCGCAGAGCCCTCTTTAAAAACTCCCGCTCATTTAGTGCATCAAAGACCTTAATTGAGAGGGAGCCGAGCGTAGCGCCCTCTTTTAAAACTCCCGTTCATTTAGTGCATCAAAGACCTTAATTGAGCGGGAGCCGAGCGTAACGCTAAGTGGGGAACCAAAGATTCGCGAAATAAAACGTTATAATATGAATCGACATCCTTTTGGGTCTCAATTGGGCTAACCGTGAGCCATAAAACGGCTGAAAAATAAGCCGTGAGTCGTGAAAATGAGAAGAAAAATTAGCCGTGACGCGTGAAAAAGCCAAATTTTTAGGCCTGAGTCGTGATGCGGACCCCCTTTTCCAGGGGACGAGGTTCAAATTCTGGAGACTCCCGCATAAGGGAGACAGAGATGACAGATACATTGTATTTTTTCAGATGTTAACAAATGTAGTGGCGTTGTTTGTCAAAATGGCGGCACGTGTAAGGATTTGGTGAACGATTTCACATGCTCTTGTGTAGTTGGTTACATCGGAAGACACTGTGGAACAAGTAGGTCATTTGTTGTCGATGTTTGTTTGTTTTTGCTGTCTTTTTTCTTTCGACTTTTACACATGGGTTTTGYTTGTATGTCTGACTGTGTCAACACGTTTTGGGTGACAGCTCAAAATTRTGATTGGACAATTTTCCATTTTTTCAGATGTTGATGATTGTAATAACGTTGTTTGTCAAAATGGCGGAACGTGCAAAGACTTGGTCAATAATTTCACATGTTCTTGTGTGGCTGGSTACACTGGACGATACTGTGAAACAAGTAAGTTTTTCTGGCAATTTCTCCCTAGTTAATTATGGTTTTCTCAATTTCCATTTCAGTTTTTCAGTTTCTTAGTTTTAGTATTCCTTTATAAGCTTCTTCCATTCACAATTCTGCTTGTACCTTCATTTTTAAACTCAATTCACAATTATTTCTGAAGAATATTTTGATTTTTTTTTTCAGATGTTGATGATTGCAGTGGCGACGTTTGTAAAAACGGTGGAACGTGTCAAGATTTGGTCAATGATTTCGCATGTTCTTGTGTAACTGGCTACACCGGCAAGCGCTGTGAAACGAGTATGGATTTTGTTCTGTGTTGTTGATGTTGTTTTTATCGTTGTTTGTTGTTTTTGTCTTTGTTGTTTTTGTTGTCATTGTTGTTGTTTTCGTTGTTGTTGTCGCAGTTGTTTTTGTTGTTGTTGTCGCCGTCGTTGCTTTTGTTGTTGTCATTGTTGTTATTGTCGCCGTTGTTGCTTTTGTTGTGGTTGTTGTTGTTGTTGCAGTTGTTGTTATGATGATGTTATTTTTGTTTAATCGTAGGAATATATTTAAGGTGAAGTACCCTTACTATAAGTCTAAAACGTACACAATAAACAATAAAATGTTTAGTTTTGTTCTTTGTCAACATGAGTCACTAGCCCCATACGCGTCGTTTTAATATATTTTGAGAAATGCCATTAATTTGACAGATTTGACGTTGCATTCTATATTTTCGTAGATATTGACGATTGTAATGGCGTCGTATGTCAAAATGGCGGCACATGCGTTGACTTGGTCAATGATTTCAAGTGTTCTTGTGTTGCTGGATWCGATGGGAAGCTCTGTGAATCAGGTAAGCAAATCAATCCCAAGAATAATTTGTCTTCTCCCTGCACCACCTTGAAAGATACCGGTGCCCGGCCGCGGGATGGTTGAGTAGATTGGGTAGGAGAACTGTCGATTAGAGGATTAGAGGCATTTTCTCCTCCATTCTTTCCATTCCCATGCAGTAACGTAGTATAAGCTGTTTTGACGACACGTATTTTCGTGATTAGATTTAGATGAATGTGCCAGTAAACCATGTTTAAATGGGGGAACATGTAATAATTTGTTCAACAAGTTCACGTGCACTTGTCCTGAGACGCACCACGGAAATAYGTGTAAAATACGTAAGTACCATTGTTATACTAGCTGATTTACGCAATTACAAACGTTAGTCTTTTTTGTTTCCTTTTGCGTGTTCGTCTCCTTCCTAGATGTGTTTGAAAACGTTATTATCTCATCGCGATCGTCTTGCGTTTTTATTTGCGTTAACGCCTCCATTMTACGTTAAGCGTTGCAATAATTGCGTACAGTTGCGTTTGCATTGACGCTTCGTCTCCATCTTGCTACGTGAGCTAACGTTGTAATATAATCAGTCACAAGTCATTGTTTYATCTACATATCAACATTTTCTAATTATGAATTAGCTTCATTGTTTCACGAACTTCTACTTGTCGCGCTTCATCATGCAACGCTTTTCCTTTCGAAGAATTTTTWACGTTTGAAATTTTCACAGCAAAAGCYCACCAATTTAACGTTTTCAAATCTAATTCTCTTTATTATTYCGCAGTGTCTGCGTGCGATATCATATACTCTACGTTTTCTACGAATAACGTTATATTGTACCCATTATCGACCAATTTACAAGCCTTCACAATGTGCAGCTGGTTTAAGCTCAAGGACTCTAGGGATCTCTATCCACTATCATACTTACAGTCAAGCAGCTCACTCGGTATTGGCTTGATGGGAGATGGCAGAATAATGCTAAAAGTCAACGGTTACGGAAGGTAATTACGACATAGACTAGACAGTATACTCAATTTGATTGATTTACAAGCGGTGTTGACCTATCACAAGATGGATATTGTAGTATATCGATTGACATATAGAGCGCATGTCAAGATTATTGTTTTTAATTCACTGGAAAAAATCGCGCACTTTAAAGGTTGTAAATTTGATGTAAGTATCAAAAATTCTGTAAATTTGATGTAAATAATTTCCATTAAACTTACAGAATTTTGGACACTTACATCATATTTACATCAAATTTACAATCTTCAAAGCGCGCGATTTTTTCCAGTGATTTTCCCGCCCTTCTTTTGTTTTTTCTTTAAACCGCGCTTTATATTGTTATGTTTACAGATATAACAGTCTTGGGATTCTGCGAGACGGAAATTGGCAGCATCTTTGCATTGCTTGGCGTAGCTCTGACGGTGCAGTCCAAACTTATCGTAACGGCGCACTGAAAGCAAGTTCTACGGGWTTCATGTCACGCAGTTCTGTGAACAGTGGGAATACCCTAAACATTGGACGAAGAGCAGACCTCGGTAGTTGTTTTACTGGTAAAATAAGCAACTTCAATGTCTGGTCATCTTTTTTAGATGGCGAGAAAATTTTGAGCATGGCTTCAAGCTGTCGACCGCTGGATTCTGAAGGCAATGTCGTCAGCTGGTCCGTACTCAAGAAAAAAACTTTTTCGGGTTCTGTTGAAAAACGTTGTCCCGGAAGTTGTTTTTCGTGATAAAACTGTCAATGATTGACAGCTAATTCATGTGTTTACTATTAGTCACAATAGCTTCTACGTCATATACAGTATATGTAATGCATTGTAGAATATGTTTAGKATAAAATATAGTGAATGTCTTTTGTTTAGTCAACTAACCTACCAAACAACAATTCCTTGCGCACAAATCAACAATGTGACGTAAAAGCTTTGCAAGTCTATTGAACACTACTATTTTCGACTATTTATTGGCAATTCACGATAGCTGTTTCTCAGGTGTGTTATTTGCACTCTTAAAACACGCTAATTTATATTGGTAATAAAATTGCAAAGGCATTGTGTTGATTTTCTTTTTGTACCGAAAGGCCTTATGGGTCCTCTCGTCACTATGTCATCGTGTTGAGTGACCGAACCGTAACATCCACTTGTAGCAGGCGTTCCTTGCGAGTCGCTGATATTTTTAAGTTGAAAAGAATTAAAATCTATAGAGGAAAAAAAACAACAGCAAAGAGAAAAGAAGAAAAGGAAAAGACAAAAAGAAAGAAGAAGAAAAAGAAACCAAAAGAAAAAGAAACAGGAAAAAAAGAAAAATTCCAGCAGTAGGATTCGAACTCAGGACTTTCACTTTTGGAAAAGATGCACCCCCCGGAATACATAAGAAATAATGGAAATAAAAAAAGCTAAAAAGATGGGACGATTCCCCCGAGACATTCTATGAAGCTGAGGCGTCGAATCGGCTTACGTTACGGTTAGAGATTTTGGCTCTTCCACGCTATCCCGAGTGAACATAAAACTTAGTCTTAACCAAAAGGCCAGGGAGTGAGGGGGTAGCCGCCCACTAGAGCATACCTTTAGCTACCCTCTTAGACCATCGTACTATGAAGACACTTATAGATATCTAATATCTAATTGGGGTAGTCTATTCGGTGAAGTTCTATGCTAATATATGACGTCACCAAAATCCTTAGGGAGCAGCGAGCCAATCAGAGCTCAGCTCAGGAATTAACAAAGGATACAGGTTTGCATAATCATTCTTCAGTAGATTTATTATTTGATGGGGGTGGGGTGGGTGCCGAATTCTGGTTTGCGGCCGAATACCGATGTACTCGATGTAATGTGACGGCTTTTATCGAGCTGTTCAATTGTCGTTATTGTTTTCCAAATCATCACAGGAAAAGTTGTACAGTTCTTATATCAGACAGACATCACAAGTATTCGTATAAACACCACGACAAAAATCTCTTGAAATTCTTAAGGTAAGTGGTTTACAGACCAGGCAGATACTAGCTGTTGTCAAAGATTCGCCGGCATTCAATGGAACGGCACAATTCAAGACCTGAAACTCCAACATTACACTCGAACGTTCCACATTTTCGTTCAGTGGTCAACAAATGAATTAATACATTATTTAAATAANCTATCGTATTAAACTGCTCTTCAAGGGAAAATAATATTTCCTGGGATAAAAACAACAATGTCAACAATTACATCAAATGTTTTTTATATGGGTTTTATTCATAGAAATTGAAAGTTTTCTAGCTCTTTTCAGTCTATTCTGGCTCGAAATGTGATTTTTGACTTTGATTTAAGTTATAGATAACATTTAGGTATCAACGCTTTCCCCGCGCAATTATACGCAATAAAATAAACTCTTTATGTTGGGTTTCCTGTGTAATACGTBGACCGAGTACTGCGCAAGCGCGCGCTCAGCTGATGACGACACAGAAGCGAGGCTTCTAATTTATTCAGCTTTGTTGGCAAAACCAAAATGTCGCTCAGAAATGGCTGATAGTGAACGAGAAGAAAAGCTTGCTGCAGCCAGAAAACGGGTAAGACAATACTATTCTTCAAGACGATCTTCTTCAGAAAGGCCTTAAMATTCAATATTCAAAGACAATTTTCTATTTTTGTATTCCAGCTGAAGAAATTTCAGCAGAAGCGAACACCATCTTCAAGTCCTGTCGTAAGGAAAAATAGTAAAAACAAACCCTTGAATGAGTCTAATTTTAGTGATGTTAAATCTGATTCTGTTGSTGAGTCRTCTACAGGTCACTTGGATATTCAGGTAAGTGTACTAGCTACATTCCTAAAAAATCCGAATGCATGTTTTGCTAAGATTTAAAAAAATAGGTCATCACACGACAGAAGATATCGAACATTTGYTCTTATGAGGAAGAAACTAGCTAAGCACATCAGTTGATAAAAACTGATTCATTTTACGTTATTTATGATACTATTTAGTACCTATTATAGTAATTAACGGTTAACTATTTGAAGAAATGGTGGTCATACCTGTTGAAATTATTGCTTATTTACAATTGCAAATTTGAGAATATTTGGCGAACCGTGGTTGGCTAAATATTWTTATGGCTCGCATTTCAAAATACATCCAATGCAAAGTCCGTTTTATAACATATTGCGTAAATTACTTGTATTTTAGATTAAGAATAGCTTAGGGTGAAGTTTATGTTATTTAATCAACAAATTG